GGTGTTTTTTGTGGGGATCTCAGTCCTCCCTCATTCCCTTTTTTTTCTTTTCTTTTTTGACCCCCCCCCCCAAGGTGAATTGCTTCTCCTGGCAGCCTCTAGGAGAGCCAAATTACTTTATAAATAGTCAGTACAACCCCACCGGGTTTAACACCAGAAAACAGCCATTTCTAAAAAAACGGGAAATGAACCTTTTGGCGTTTTCCCCTTCCCACGGCCATTGTCGCTGTGCACTTATACCCCGCTTTCCCTCTTCTATCAAGGAACTCAAGGCAGCGCGGATAAGATTCCAGGCGGTCCTCTCAGGTCTGCTTCCCTTCAGTTCCCTGTACAAACCTCACTCCCTTTCTGCCTGTCCCTGACCGTACAGGGACTCGGGACAGAAAGCACACTGCCACAGATCGTAGGATTGTCCTGCATGCCCCCCCCAGATGTTTTGGACTACAATTCCCATAAGGAAGGCTAAATATTTAGTCCTCTTCCTTCCAGTAATGTATGAGGATATAATTTCCCCCTACACAGTTTGATATGATGTCAAATGGGGGGAAGGATACCTTATGGCACGAGGCAAGGGCATGACCGGTTCACACCTACATGCCCCCCAACATCAGGGAAATATATGCAAGTCTGAAGCCGCCGCCACCAATGAACACCCACACTAGCCCGTGTCTACTCCAAGGCAATGTTTTTCGCTTCATTCAGCCAGACGTACACAAACGTTGAGTAATTTGCGGGTATATTTTCTTTAACAACTACAGTACTCCATTTTCTTTGTCGCATCAAAAGGAGGGTTTGGCCTGAGCGTGTGGACCATGACAGATCTAAAGACACGGGCAGAACGCGGGGTCTCGCTTCAGACACCATGCTTTTCAGTGGGGACTCGTCATATAGTGATGTGCACAGAAGGGCACTTATGAATCACCTCCGGGTGATGCGAGTCGAGGTGAGGTATGCGCATATATGAAATATCCTGGAGATCCGCGGGTATATAGTTGAACATAGGATATCTGTAATCTCTACAGGTAGAGATCCCTGTCCTACTTCCATCATAAACCCTGTTCTTCATTATTTCTACTTAAAATGTAAATCATACCTGCTAAATCCATTAAATGCAATAGACAGCTTTTATGTCTGAAGGCAGCTTATCTTGGAGAAATGTGAAGGCCTCTGTACATGGTATGCCCAACCATGAGCCTCTCTGGCTAAACCACTTGAAAGCTGAGCAGTTCTACACATATTTACTGAAGTAAGTCCCAATAAGTTCAGCTGGAATTATTCCCAAGTGTATAGAATATAGGATTTCAGTCTTAATAGAATGCCAAGTAAATGCGGTCACTGCAGAGACTGCCTCCCCATATCTAACAGCACATGAAAAACAGCATGTACACACAGCGACTGAGGTAGCTTTCAGACGTACTGATGGCGCGCAAACCTCTGTGGGCAGTTTGGGACGGTTTGTGTGGGGGTCTGGTGGTGTGTGTGAACAGTCTCTCGTTTTCCAGAAGGCTTTCCTCGGCAAAATGAACTGGGGCAGATTCTTTATACCGCTATCGCTACCAGTGTCTACCTGTGGAGGGATAATGGACACGTGTGAAGCAGCCCACAACCTAGAGCGCTTGCCTTCTGGCATTCAGAAAGTAGCTGTTGATGGCCGCTTTTACTGGACTTGGGTTTTATTTCTCGGTGTGGCCAACATTCCGCTGTTTCTCGGCAGATGTGATTAGATTACATTATGAGCCCGTGGGGTCTTTTTAAAGCCATAATTTTAACAACAGCTCAGGTCTCTCACAATCTCTTTTTTTTAAAAAGCGTTATCCTTTCCCTATTCTCCAGGAGCAAAAGTATGGGAATTCGGAGATTTCTGGGGTGAATCCCCACCTTCCTCCCTGAAGCCTGAAGGGAAATGGGAACTGAACAGCCAACCCGACTGCTCTCTTCTTGGCCCTGTTAATTAAGAAATCCAGACGTATCGCCTCTTCTCCCCTTTCCGCATAAAAACCTTGGAAATTCTAACCCAGTGATCACACGTATGGATGTGCCACTACGTTTGGTAAAGGTCTTGGAGAGATGAGTACTGTCGTGGAAGGAGAGGTTGTTCCAGGGTGAAGGGGGATGGCGGGTACCAAATTCTTCCCGAGTTTTACACTGGTTGAGCAGAACTTCGCGAACCAGGATGCAATTATTGACAAATGCGCCAAGGTCTTCTTGGTAGCTGAAAGGAGTGGAAGTGCGCGCTTGTGCGTGTGCCTGATTCCTTTGAACAGATGTGTTTGGCTCCAGAAAACTAGAGGGGCAAGCCCATGAATATACTTTATATATGCCTTATGGGGGATGTCGGCAACAAAGGGGAAATAAGATGGGGAGGGGGAGAGCACCACTTACGCAGGAGAGCCCGCTGATTTCTTGGTTCCTTCGTTGGGTGAGCCAAACCGAACTGAATCCGGTTCTAGCTACCACAACAAATTATTTTAATTATATTGAGAATCTAATATTATTTGTGTTATCAAAGGAGGCTGAAGCTGTTGTGTTGTGTGCAGCAGGGAAAAATAGGTCCACCTCTTAGACAAACGGAAGTGGGGTTTGAACCAGTTGAACGGAAGAACGAGAAACTGAACAGATTCATAATGCAAATGAGCACAACCACAAACTGTGGGACCGACCTGGAGTTGTGTGGGCTTGCGCTGGCAGATAGAATTGGTTCGGTGGGCCTTCGGCCCAGGTATTCTGTCCTGTCTGACTACTAGACAGCCAAAGGACGTTGGGACGATGAAAACAGGTAGCGACTGTTGGCGGGTAGGGCGCACCTGTTCAGGTGAAGGAGGCGTGCATGGGTCTGAGCAAGAGACAAGCCCGACGTCCTTGCCAGGCTTTGTGTCCAAGGCTAAAGGAAGATTGCTGAAGCGGTGAGGGTGAATACATCTGCTGGAAGAGTGAAAAAAGTAATCGCCAGGATGCGATGGCGGGTGCTTGTGCTGGAAAGTTGCAAGACTGGAATTGGGGGACCTTGTGGAGATCAGTGTATCTCAAGGTGTGAATGTGTTCGGGCGTGGGGTCGGAATTTCAGACACTTTCCCTAGTAGTAAACTGCTGTGTTGAACCGGGGAAAGAAAAGAACTGACAGAAATGGGGCGGGGGTGGGGGGTAGGTAGCTAGGAGAGAAGGAAGGAAGGAAGGAAGGA